TCCCTCGAAATTCGCACTTTGTCTCGATAAAAGGATTCGTGAAATTGTAACGAACAATCCCGTGATATCGATTCAGTCGGTCGTCCCGACAAAGACACGGTCTTCCGGTTACTTCACTTTGCCGAACAGAATCGCGCAATTCTGTCAAAGTCCGCCGGTCCACTTTCGTCGATATGCGACGAGAGAGAGAAAGAGAGAGAGAGAGAGAAACGCAGGGCGATAAATTCCATCGCGTATTTACTCGAACGCGAATCGAGAACCTGTACGTCACTCGCGTTTAAATTCTCGCAGTTCCATTTTCATCTTGCCACGGGCATTGTCCCCTCCGACGTTGACTCGTCACTTTACGGTAATACGAATAATTTCCTCGTGGAGTTAGACACAGTCGAATCTAGCGTGGCGGATCCGTGACGAGAATACGGACCATTTGTGCAGTTTCTTCGTACCGAAAAGGTTACGGCAGGTTTCGGGAAGCAAGCGGCAATTTAATATTAAATGCGCGTGCGACGCCGGGCGGAGTGCGGCGTCGCACGGCTACGGTCACGAACAAAGCGGCTCTTTATGCGCGATTGTTCGACGTGTCGTGTGATTTGCGCGGACTAATTACGCGAACGTGCGGGGTCCGTTCCTTCCCCCTCGCTTCTCCTCCCCTCCCCTCCCCTCCTCTCTGGCGGACGGAGACGGGCGTGTTTGCGGAGAGCCTCGAAACCGAGAGACGCGCAGCAGCACGTGACCGACCCCTCGGCAATCCGCAGGATCAATCGATCTCCTCGATTCTTCCTCGACGCCCGCGACCGGGATTGTCTCTCCGCCGAGAAATCAGGGCGGCTTTTGTGTTTTGCGCCCGAGGATCGATCCCCCGCGCGAACTGCGCGTCCGGATAAATTGCGCGAGCGTATAAATGCTCCATTCGTGCGACGACAACGACGACGACGACGACGACGACTCATTGTTTGCGCCGGTTGGGCGTTTGCTTTCATCCGGACGCTTCGAGCACCCGGCATCATCATCTCGAGGACTGCGATCGCGGGCGAAATCAATTAGCAAGGAATGCGGGATTATTCCGATTGACTCGCTTTGTAAAGCGATTGTATGGCTCTCTATCCAGGATTTATCTTGCGAGAAGAAATAACGTGCAAAGAGCCGAATGAAATAATAATTCGGATTCCTTTCGGAGAGATTAAAAACATTCCCCCCCACCCCCCCACCCCCCTCCTCCCCAATGAAACCGACGAAAGTTGTTTTTTAATAATTTCGAGAAGCTTTTAAAATTACGTCTGCATTTTTTATCATTCGCGATTCTCCTTTTGTTTCTGTTACGCGCTCTTGTTGCGATTCTGACTTTCGTTGGAGTCCGCGGTATCCGAAATGAGACATCCGAAATGATGATACACGTCGAATATACGACATATAATCTCGACGTATGTCTATGTTCCGAGCAAGAAGTTTCACAACGACGGCGGGCAAGCAGCAACAGCAACAGCAGCAGCAGCAGCAGCTGAAGTGTTTCTCGTTACGGAGATAATCTCTCCGTGCGCGTACAAATGGATCGCTCGAGTGGAGGAGGAGGAGGAGGAGGAAGATGAGGGGGTAGAGGGAGGGGGGGGAGGGCTATGTGTTTGCACCGGCTGATGCGCCGACTCCATCTCCTCGACTTCGCGGGGAGATAGAAACAAGGAAACGCTGAAGAGAGCCGAATAGATCCGTTCACAAATGCGAATCCGTTCGTGGAACCATGACGCCGGGCGCCGTCGCGCCGCATATAAATAGTCGTCGCGTTAAAGAGAACCGCGTCGAGAGGATAAACCGGAGGAGGAGAGGGCTGGCAAAACGACGGCGAGAGGCGAGAAACGCGGGAGTAGAGGGACGAAAACATAAGCGCGATATTTCCCGCGATCTATTTTTGATGGGTTGCGCATGGGTTTGCGCGCGGGATTTTACGGTACCCGAGTCCCTCGAAACCGCGCGGCAAAACAGCGCTGTCCTTCCATTGTTAAAAGAGATCCTGAAAGTTACCTTTAATGCAGTTTTTTTTTTTTTTTTTTTTCTCGTTATTCCGTTTCCGTTATCCTGTAATCTTTTAACAAGTGATTTTTGTAGTTCTATTAAAAATGTGCACGTCGTAAATGGTTACTCGACAGAAACGACATGAAAATATTTATCACATAACATTAAATTTACTACAGCAATTTCGTTTACCCTCCTGGCAATAGAAGACTTTAATGATATACTTAATATCGGAATATTGACAAAAAAAGTATACGCGTGAATACGAAGTTACGTTTCAGTGTGGTTGAGTTAGTAATAAATAAACAGTCACCTGTATTCGGAGAAGCCTTCCGCCAGTGCTTTAGTGCTATTTTTTTTTTTTTTTTGCGACTCTTAATTCTTTCTATTCTGTTATTTTGTTTAATCATAATAAGGTATGGCTTTCAGAGATTTTCCAGCGCGTTAAACAGAATCGTCACAAAATCACTTTTGCATCGGAGAAGGAGAACGCTTGCGGAACCGCTTACGGAAATCAGAGCACAGAAATTACAACTTATTAATATTCCTCTTTTCTTTTCTTTTTTTTTTCTCTCTATGCGTATTTTTCCGTATTACGTGACGATGCAGCTCAAGTAAAAGGAGAAGAAGAACAACGGACGTGCCGCTGTGAGTTTACTTCGAACTGCGAGAGATATGCGGATTGTTCAGGTTTAAGAAATAATCGCGCCAACTCACGGAGCTAGACACGTTGTTACGACACGGACCGAAAATAGACCGGAATGCGAAATCGAATTTCAACGACGTGACCGTTCGATTCCCGTTGCCGCTCCGGTTGCTTTTACGAGACATTCGATGATCGCGCATAGCGATCCCTTCGCTCTACTCCCTCCTTTTCTCTTTTTTTCTTTTTATTACGGCACCGTGGACTCCGCTCGTAGCTTCCGAAGGATATATATTTACACACCATACACACACAGCATACATGCACACACACACACACACATATATACGATACACGTATATACAATATACATGTATATGTACAAAC